TATACAGTCTTTGAATGTATGGTTATTCTTTTGATTGGTTCTTCCTTATAAGTGGTGATTAGTTCATTGTGACCCTAATGGTTTTATAGCTGTGATATTAGCTATGCATGTGTCTTTCAGTGGAGGTTTTCTGTTTTTAAGGATCTTATTAAGGTGGAGTAGCTACAGCTTAACACATGGATGGCTTGGTTTTAAGGATTAAAATGTCATCTTCCTTGAGTCATAGTATTGAGAGTCACATTCTTTTTGTATGTGGTCTCACAGAGAGCTTCCTATTTGAAGGCTTAATAGGTAATTTGTTCCATTTTATGTAAGATGCTAATAAAATGCACCTTATGATGTAACAGCTTTCTATAACATAGATATTTAAGTTAATTTGTAATCTTACGTTCAAAATCTTCCCCTTTTTTTTGCATTCTTGCATAATTTTAATTCAATTCTTGCAATACCAAAGTAGGTGAGTCAGTGACAGTATTAATAGGGACATATTCAAAGATATCTAGAAGCCAGGAGTAGAAGTGAGCTGGAATGCTCCTTATCATGGTGACCTCAATTCCATGACCCCAATCTTCCCTTTCTTAGAAAGGGTTTTTTTTTTTTAAACTGACTATATTTGTATTAACATAGACTTCTAAAGAGAGACAGAAGGAAGCAACCAAACATTACTTTTCTTTTTAAAGGTATCAGCTAACAAGGGTGAAATTGGTGATGCCACTCCATTCAATGATGCTGTTAATGTGCAGAAGATTTCTAATCTTTTATCTGATTATGGCTACCATCTCAGAGGAAATGAGGTATGTTTGCTTTTACTTTGGTAATTTGTTAAGTATACTCTTTGCACATGTGTTATTTCATTCTTAAAAAAATAAATCTTTCATTGAAGTATACCACATAATTCAAATATATACATAAACCATAAATGTTCAGGTTGATAAATTTTCACAAAGTGAAAGGTGTGACTGGCACCCAGATCTTGAAAAGAAAATGATCAGACTCCTTTTCTGCCTGATGCTCTCTTGTGTCCCCTTCTAGTCACTACCTTCATACCCCAACCCCAAGGTAATTACTCCTTTTATAGCATAGATTATTTTAGTCTGTTTTAATTTGTATAGAAATGGAATGTATAGTATATGTACATATATTCTTTGAACTTGTTTAATAATTTTAAGTCTGTACTTCAAAATCTGCTTGTTTCAGGTCTTATACAATGGATTCACTGGTCGAAAAATCACATCACAGATTTTTATTGGCCCCACTTATTACCAGCGTTTGAAGCATATGGTGGATGATAAGATTCATTCTCGTGCTCGGGGACCTATTCAGATTCTTAATAGACAACCGATGGAGGGTAGATCTCGGTAAGAGAGCTGCATCATCGATCTTATATAAAAGAATAGTTCTCTTATTTCTTGATTACAGGATCCCAAAAGACTTTTGTGTGGGAGCTGGTATCTTTTGATATTTATCATGTGAGAAAGAAAACTGAGAAAGGTTTAAAATATTTATTGCTTGGTTTAAAAAATAATAGTAACAAATCCATTATACATTAACATAAATAACATTTTAAGTGAAAAATATTTTCCAGATAAATTTAGTAATAAGTGACATTGGTTTATCTTTTTGCAAATCTTCTTAATGAACTGGTTTGTGAGAAGATAGCTAGATTCTTGATTCTTGTGTTTGCTTCTGCATTTAATCCATTGCAGGATTTTATTTTTTATAATTATATGACCTCACACAGACTTATGGTTGGAAGGGAAGAATATTTTAGTAATTTTCAGGTGACTATGGATTTTTTTTTTTGATGCTGCACTAGAGTGACAAGTTGTCCTTTCTGAAAGGTTAGTTGTGATGTAGAATCTGGAACCACTTAAGTGAATCTTTTATATTGAAATCCATTGTCCTGTCTTATACTTTGATTGCATCTTTTATACTTACATAGTTTCGTAGTCTCAGTTGGTTATTTGGAAAATATTTTCATTGAGTTGTGTAGATTTTTACATGTTGACACATTTCATTATACCAAAAACAATTTCACATTTGTGAGCATCACCATCATGTCATCAGAAAGTTTTTAAGTATTGGGAAGTTATCAAGCTCAGAGTGTTGGATAGAGGTTTTCTTTTTCTAAAATTCTCCTTTTTGATTGAAAACTCAATTTTTAATCATTTACAAGAAATATTTAAAATTTTTTTCCTTGAGTGAAAAAAATGCCAAATATCTTAAGACTGAATTAACATAGTTGGTGCTAATGTTGGCAGATTAACATAATTGGTGTCAGCTGTTTTTTCAAATATAAAAGATATTCCATGATAAAAGTGACTAGTTCATAATTGTGCAAGCACTTTACTTCAAGACCCCCATCTTTAGTATACAACTAAAGTGCCTTAAAGTGCCTTATGAGAACTCATTTTATCAGACTGTTAAAAACTAGGTACTCAGGGGTCAAAGTTGAATAAAATAATCATTTTTTTTTTACTGCTTCATTAATGGCATTCTTTATAGAAAACTGGTTTTCTCACCTTCAGATACACTGGAGAATACGATTGCTAGTAATGTATGGTTCTGCCCCCCTGATGTGTTCAGGTGCCAGCAGTTTGTGCCGTTACTTTTGCAACTGTCAGTGCAAATGTCAACACAGTGAAAGAAGCAAATGTGTCATTAGTGTTATTGTAAAAGCAGATTTCACCCTCCAGAGTCCATAGACCACACTCTCAGAACTCCTGCTTTAAAAGATAGGAAAGTTATAAAAGCAATCACAGTACCTCCTTAATATTATTAAATATCTAGTGTTCAGATTTCCTTGACAGTTGCGTAGTTTTTAAAAAACGTTTGTTGGTTTCAATTAGGATACAAATAAGGCCCATGCTATGCAGTTGATTGATACATGTCAAGTTTTTTTCCTTAATCTATGGGTTACCCTTCAACTTTTTTTCCTTGCACTTTATTTGTTGGATTGTTTGTCATGGAGGGTTTCTCACAGACTGGATTTTTTGAATTGTGGGATCTTAGTTATTTAACCAGAGATTGAACTTGGGTGCCAGCAATGAAAGCGCCAAGTCTCTCACAGTTTGGATTTTTGTTGATTGTACTCCTGGGCTCTGTGTGCCTATTTCTTGTAAATAGCTAATTGGATCTAGAGCCTCGATGAGGTGAAGGGTTTGTGTTCTTTAATAGTAACACTTAAAAGGCAGTATTCAAAATTGTATACTTTCCATATCTGGTTGTTTCTCTTTTGTGACTTTAGTAGCTGTTAATGATTATTAATGTTCATTACCTAAAACCTTTAATTAAATAGGGATTGCAGACTGATGAGATTCTAACTTTATCATTCCTTCATTTATTAGCTGGGACAGTTTCATAGAGAGAAATTTTGTTTCATCATCCGGTTACCTGCTGACATAGTTCATATAGATTCTTTCCTTTTATTTACCAGTTTTCAAAATGATGAGTAGGTTACTTAGTATCCTCTAAAGCTGACCAAGTGTTTTGTTTTTGGTAATATCATTAGAAGCTCTTTAGTCATATGTGTTTTATGTATATATATATTTGTGTGTGTGTATATATATATTCCCATGAAACCATTCTTTATCTTTTATATAGAAGAATAGTAAGGAAGCCATCACCATCTACTTGCCTGGCCAGCAGAACAATGCATTTCATTTCACTTACTAAGCTGGGGAAACCTGTAACTGATTTACCTGTTCTTTCCATTACTTGTGCCAATGTGCATTTATTGTTTCAGGTTTGATTGCTTGGGAGTCTCATTCATGGAGAAGCTACTTTATTTAGATTAACTTTTATTATTAAATTTTTAGCATACAGATGAATTTGAATAAGTTAAATAATAATCTTACAAGATTTTATTCTGTATGTCATTGTATTTTATTTAAAAAAGTATATGCTATACTTAAGAAACTAATGTGTTTACTCTGTTTGGGGACCTTCTAGTGTACATCAAATAGTTGGTAGACTTCTTAGCCTCCTAACCATGTTGACAGAATACAAGAGTAGAAAAATTGGAGTCTAGTTCTCATTCTTTACTAATGTTACTTTTTATACTTGCCATTAGTCAAAGTGGTATTGGTAACAGAAAATCAGTACAAAATAGCCTGTTGTTTTTTCCCATAATAGTGATGGTGGCTTGCGTTTTGGAGAAATGGAACGAGACTGTCAGATTGCCCATGGAGCAGCCCAGTTTTTAAGGGAAAGATTGTTTGAGGCATCAGATCCGTATCAGGTTCATGTTTGCAATCTTTGTGGGATAATGGCAATTGCTAACACCAGAACCCATACATATGAATGCAGGGGCTGCCGAAATAAAACCCAGGTATGTATAAATAAAACCAGCTATTCCTGGCAGTTATTATCTATTCAGGACATGACCATGTTTGCCTAATCATCCAGGCAGATTTAGTGTGGTGAACAGATTGGTGTTTTCACAATTGTGGTAGCATTTTTCTATAAGATTCCTGGTTTTAAATGAAGATATCAGTTCTGTTTTTCTAAAAACTAGTTTAAGTTTTAGCGTGGCAATTTCTCTAAGCTGTTCATCTTTTGGAAATAATAAGGTCTTGTACAAGGAATTTTAAACAATGAGAAAGGTGAATTTCACCTTTCATTGAGAAAGGTGAATATAAATTAAGTCTGACAGAAAGGGTAAAATACCAAAGCCTGTTAGGAGAAAGAGCCACCATAGGCCAAGGTGCCAGGATGAGTGTTAGCAGCCCACTCATTGGTTCATCGCCTCTAGTACCAAGTCTGTGGCTTTTCCGGGCGGTAGGGAAGTGGGGTTATTTCAGTACAGCTTTGCTAATTGCCTCTTTTTTCTCCTTCCCCAGATCTCTTTGGTTCGAATGCCTTATGCGTGCAAACTGCTGTTTCAGGAGCTCATGTCGATGAGCATTGCACCTCGAATGATGAGTGTTTAGCTCTTTTAAAACATCTTTGTGTCTTGTTTCTATGATACAGCTTAAAAAACTTTTTTTAAAACAAAAATGTACTGCGCTGTGAGAAAACACACTTTATTTGTTTTGTTTAATGATATGCATGCTTTTCTTCTGTAAATAGACAATAAATTTTTGTAGATAGTCTTGGTGTGTTATCTTAATTTTGTATTTCACTGTGTAAAATCAGTGAATATAGCTAAAGTGTTAGTGGACTGGATGAAAAGAAACTGGTTACTAGGCAAGAACAGGGGGCTGTAGTTACCCGCGACTACTTTTAGCTATGCAGACTAATGCATTCTGCAGGTTTACAGCTCAGCACCTTCACCTGTTTAAAAAAAAAAAGGATAAGTTAGTTACACATATGGATATGGTTTGATTTTCTAATTTTGAGGTAGTGTAGTGTTTCCAAATAAATCAAGATGTTAAAATGTGGGGATAAAGAATGTGTGAGGATAAATTGATAACAGTGGACAGTGGGAGTGCTCTTTGCATTTGAACTATCTGTATATGATTTTTAGATGTGGAAGGTGATTTTGTTGTACTGGTCCATCTGTAGGAGAGGGACCTTATTATAGAACTGGGAGAAGCACATTTCATAGATGAGCAAGATAGCTAGAGAGAGACTAAGGAACTTTGCTTTGTCTTCCAGTTCTTATTCAGAATTGAAAGTGGAATAATCAATGGCAGAGCTGAGGCTCAAACATGCCTCTGAGCTGCTGCTGTTTGTTCCATCACTTGGCTTTACACATCTTGGCTGAAAAGAGTCTGACCAAACACATCTTTACTTCATATTTCTTCCTTTCATACCACAGCTGAGAGGTCCACACAGTGGAATGGTTTTTACAAATGCTAACAATAAATTTTGTTTTTATTTTTGGCTTAAGAAAAAACCAGTTCAGACATCAGTCTAACAGAACTATATAAATGGAAAGTAGCATGACTCTCATTGACAGTGAAGTGGATAGAGGCAGAACAGAATTGAATACCTGCCAATATATTCTTTCAGGTTTTTTCTTATAAAAGCTCAAAGTGAAGGACCAGAATTGTCTACAAATCATTTCCTTTTAAACGGGAATCTAATATAATAGTCACAACATCAAGGAAAATGCGGTGAAGATAGAAAGTTATGGGAAATATAAACCATTCTAATCAGGTTTGAGTTTTGACTCTTACATGTAAGATAAAGTGAAAGCATCTAAGTCATAATAATAGCATTCCATCAACCACTGAATGTTCTTTTGGAGCCATGCACTCTAAGTTTTGATTACATACTTAATGCCATTCCCTTGTGGATTCCTAACATCAACAGAATTTCATTAAGAGCTGTCTGATACTTTTATACTTGGTTTTGTGCTTTATTAATCAGAAGCACTAAGGAAACAAATGTTAATCACTCAGTCATATCTGACTCTTGTGCGACCCCTGGACTGTAGCCCACCAGGCTCCTCTGCCCATGAGATCCTCCAGGCAAGAGTACTGGAGTGGGTTGCCATTCCCTTCTCCAGGGGATCTTCCCAACCCAGGGATCAAACCCAGGTCTCCCACATTGCAGGCAGATTTTTTACTGCCTGAGCCAGAGGGAAGCCCAAACAAAAGCACTAGTCATTTTTAAATGCTTATGAGATTTATTACCTACCTTTTTTCACTGGTATTTCATGTAAGGCATCAACCACTGTAATTTTTGCTGATGCTGAAGCCTGTCCTTGGGAGTTGGATGCATGGCACTCATATTCTCCGGCGTCTTCCTTACTAAGAGGAGATACCTGTGAAAGAAAAAAAGATCTTCAGTTTCTCTGTGGTGGTCATCTTTTTCCAGTGGCCTCAATTAAGTCATTTCATAAGTTTCCTAACATGACCAAGGGGGTTCGTGGCAAAGATGCTGCTAGAAGTAGTACTAGTCCTGTGCTAGGAGTAATTATGTAGCTATCAAATGCTCTGCCAGGAGGATTCCTACTATGAGAAAAAGCCATGGACAACTTTAGATCACACTGCATAGGTTAAAAACGATAGGTGCACATATCCTTGTTTGAGGGAGACCCTCGTGTAGGGTATGTGATCTAAGAAGTAGGGACACTAGCCTTGTATGTCCATGGCTATCAAAGATCAAGTAAAGTAATAACTGATTAATGTGTGGGTCATTTAGTTCCCTTTTGCTTTGAACTAGGGGGCAAAAATTGGTTCTCATTTATTTGCTAATTTCCAAAACATCCTAATAAACTCCAGCTATTTGTTTTTTGTCTGTTTCCTCTGAAAGAGAAAGCCGCTCTGTGGTAAGACTGTTCTAAAGAGATGTGGAGGCGCGGGCGAGTGCTTCGAGCCTGGCAGGACTGGCACCTCCAGCAGGTTTGCTGTGTCTTAATTCTAAGGGTGAAGCACTTGTCAGCTTGGTACTCACCAGCACCCAGCCAGTGACTTCATGCTTCTCTGGACCGCCCCGGGTCTGGATGGCCAGATTGTCTCGGTCGCCAGGCAAGAGTTCTGTTCTTTGAACTCCATAGTGACCCCTTTTTACCTGCAAAAAAAGCAGGGAGGCGGGGGAACAGTCTTGAGTTCTCTGCACTGAATCATCAACTTGGAAGTGGCCAGTATTTCTAGAATTGCACAGGGTATACATCAGAATTTCTAACTGGATTAAACCTAGCAGTTTCCATATTACTCTCTCCTACATACTTACGTAGAATATACATTCTCTTTTATTCCTTCCTCTAAGCTTGTATATTTAAAATTAACGTATGTTTTTGCATGCTTGGGGAATATGAACTCGTACTTTCCTGCCACTGGCTGCCGTCATTCACTCAAACCCTTGTAAATTCTGCTTGTCAGCGTTGGGCCTTGTTTGCCATATGCCATTTTGACAAACCATCGCCGTCTTAGGTCTGACACTTGGGACCTTGTGTAAGAGCGCACCTCCTGCAGCTCTTCCCTAACAGCCTCATCAATAGAAAATAACGAGTCCAAAGCCGACACTGTTCCTCTGTTCGGAGGGCTAAGGGTTTGTTTATCAAATGATTTACTAAAAGGCCTGAGAGCAAAAATGCCTAAGTACAAGCTGTCATTGTTCTCTTACAGCAAAACTTGCTGCATATACCTGTGCAGGTCATGATGAGATTCAGAAAGAGGAAGAAAAAACTCAGTTTCCTTGGCTTGAGGCCACTAGTGAATACTTCTACTTTCCTCCCCTCATTTTTTAAAAAGGCAAACAGTATCTGTTCATCATATAAACTTTGGAAAATATATAAAGATTCACAAAACAATAAAATTTGCCCATAACCTCTCCATACATATACATTTAGCATAAATTTCTAGAAGCAGAATTGTTGAGACACAGAATATAAATATGTTAAGGCTTGTGATAATGATAGGTTTAAAAATATATATCAAAGAATACATGAGGCAATGTTTATTTCCATCCCAGGCCATCTTTAAGAATTGGGTTGATGTTTATTGTTATTAACCTTTGTAATTAGAAAAGATGGATTTACATTCTCAAATAGGTAGTTTTCCTTTCCTCTTATAATTAAGCAAATCTTGAGTTAGACCACAGTATCTACTTTTTTTTTGACACTACATCAGAGTTGCTTCTCTTACTTGTGAGCCCACTGCCAACACACAGTTTCTGAGCTGTTGTCTCAGCATCAAAACCACCCTTTTATTTTCTGCTTCATGACAGCGGGATTGGCACTCTGCAAACTGTGTGGAATCTACGCTAACTCCTACTCTATTAAAAAACAAAAACAAAACCCTAGGCGTTACTGATGTGGAGTGGCTGGTTTTCACCTGTTTGCTTTTTTTCCCCCTGAAAGTCCCCATTTTGCCACTATTAGAGAAAACTAGGTATCTAAGTATTTTTCTCAAATGCATCTTTTTTTTTTGTATTTTTCTGATTTATTTCACTAAGCGTAATATTCTCCAAATGAATTTTATAAAGGCAGATACATTTAGTAGGCCTCTTCTTCCCTTCCCTTCCCCAGGTAGCTGGCAGAAATGGTTTACACTAGTGCAGATTCTGAAGCAGTTACTTAAAAATGGTTTTAAATAATGGTTTTAAGTATTAATTTGATTCAGTGGTTAAAGTAATATGTCTGGTCTTGATATTCAGAATTCTTTAAGGATTTTGTATGTGACCAAAAACAGAAAAACACTACTGCATCAGATAGTGAATCTTGGCAACTGAGCTGTTTGTCCTCAGCTCATGTAGCTCTCAGGAAACAGCATTCTCTGCCAATTAATGACTCACTCTGTACCAAGAAACTTTTAAGTACTTGATTGTAAAATGAATACCTATATTCAACAAAGCTCATATTTAATTAGCAGATTGTAAAAGTTTTATACCATGTAGAAAACACAGAAGAAGTACAAAGAATTTTTATACGGAAATTTTTTTTTATAGCAAACTCCTTTACCGCATTACTTATGTAAGGGGAACTTGATAAATACATTTTCAGTTTGAGAAAAAGATGCAGGCTGGGCTGACAGAAGTTCTACATATGTGCCATGGACTGGAGGTTTGTACAGCAGAAAAAACCACCTAGAAGTCTCTGCTCACCACAGACTCAACTAGGGGGGAGAACCAGAAGGGGGAGACCCAGGAAGTCACCTCAACCCTCTCCAGTTGTATTTTAGCTGCAGCAAGCAATAACTAAGAAAAAGGTGCCAATGACTGCAGAATGATGCATTAGTCTGATTCCTACAGGTTGATAAACTTCAAGCATTCACTGAATTTCAGGGATCTTTTATGCAGCTTAGAACATATTTGCTGTGCCTTTCTGGTGAAGTTTCAGAACTTTAAGATGAAATAGAATCTATAACTATTACAATTTTCAGCCCCACAGCTACTGTAAACAAAAGACAAAATGGTTGTCTAGGAAAAAAATCTGTAATACATGACAAAGGGTCATTATCCTGAATGTGCAAAAAACCACAAAATGATAATAAGAATTGACCCCGTGGACAAATGAGTAAAGGCTAGAAACAGGTAATTCATATAAAAAGAAAATCTAAATATGAAAATATTTTCAATGTAGTCAAGGAAATAAAAGCAATAATGATACTTCTACTCATCATTAACAAAACTTAAAAAGGTAATATTCAGTGCTGGTGAGTATGCAGGGAAATGACACCCATACATTGCTGGGGGGGGGGGAGGGTGAACTGTTACAATGAATACAGAGCACCACAGCAATCAGACAAGAGAAAGAAAAGATAATCCAAGTGGAAGGGAAGAGGTAAAATTGTCATTATATTCAGATGGCATGATTCTGTATATAGAAACCCCTAACAATTCCATAAAACTACTAGCACTGATAAATGAATTCAGCAGGATACAAGAATAACATACAGAAACCAGTTACATTTCTTGACATTAACAATGAAATACTGAAAGGGAATGCAAAAAAAAAAAAAAAAATTGCATCCCCCAAAGTAAAACACTTATTAATGAACCTGAGCAAGGATGTGAAAGACATATTCTGAGAACTGTAAAACATTAATAAAGAAAACTGAAGATGATTCAAGGACATGGAAAGATCCCCTGGAGAAGGGAATGGTTACCCACTCCAGTATTCTTGCCTGGAGAACTCCATGGACAGAGGAGCCTGGTGGGCTACATAGTCCATGAAGTGGAAAAGAGTCGGACATGACTGAACAACTTTTACTCACTCACTCATGTTCTTGGACTGGAGGAATTAATATTGTTAAAATGGCCATACTACCCAAGGCAATCTACAGATTGAATGCAATCCCTATCAAATTACCCATGATATAGAAAAATTACCTATTTTTCACAGAACTAGAACAAGTAATCCTCAACTTATATGGAACCATAAAAGACCCAGAATTGTCAAAGCAGTCTTGAAGAAAATACAAAGCAGGAGGCATAAGCCTCCAAGGCTTCAGACAACACTGCAAAGCTACAGATATTGACACAGACAGACATGGGTCAATGGAACAGATAGAGAACATGGAAATAAACCCACACACCTGTGGTTGGTTAGTATTTGACACAGGAGGCAAAAATACACAATGTGAAAAACAGTCTCCTCAACAAGTGGTATTGGGAAAGCTGGATAGCCACACGTAAATCAATAAATTTAGAATATACCCTCTCACCATACACAAAATATATACAAACAGCTCATACAACTTAATAACAACAACAAAAAAAACCCCAATTCAATCGAAACATGGTAAGACCTAAATAGACATTTCTCCAAAGAAATACAAATGGTAATAGGCACATGAAAAGATACTCAATGTCAGTAATTAGTAGAGAAACGCAAATCAAAACTACAATGGTAGGTATCACTCACACCAGTCAGAGTGGCCATCATTAAAAACTACAAATAACCAATGCTGGAGAGGATGTGCACAAGGGAACCCTCCTACATCGTTGGTGAGAACGTGAGTTGGTGCAGCCACTATGGAAAACAGTGTGCAGTTTCCTCAGAGAACTAGAATTTTAACTTCTGATTCGGCAATCCCACTCCTGGGTATATATCCAAACAAGACTATAATCCAAAAAGATACATGCACCCCTATGTTCACAGCATTATTCACAATATCCAAGACATGGAAACAAGTAAATATCCATTGACAGAAGAATGGATAAAGAAGATATAGACTTATATACAGTGGGATATACTCAGCCACAAAAAGAGCAAACTAACGCCATCTGCAGTAACACGGATCTAGAGATTATCATACCAAGTGAGGTGAATCAGGAGAAAGGCAACACCACATGGTATCATTTATATGTGGAATCCAATATGGCACAAATGAACCTATTAACACAAAACAGACATAGACTCACAGACATAGAGAGCAGACTTGCGGTTGTAGTCTACGGCCATACCACCCTGAACACGCCCGATCTCGTCTGATCTCGGAAGCTACGCAGGGTCGGCCCGGTTAGTACTTGGGTGGGAGAACAGACTTGCGGTTGTAAAGAGGGGAGGGGGTTTGCGGAGGGATGGAGTGGGAAGCTGGGATCAGCAGATGAAAGCTATTAATGCATACAGAATGGATAAGCAACAAGGTCCTACTATATAGCTCAGATCATAATATTCAGCACCCTATGATAAACCATAATGGAAAAGAATGTAAAAAGAGAGAAGGTATATATCTATAACTGAATCACTTTCCTGTACAGCAGAAATTAACACAACATTGTAAATCAACTACACTTCAATGAGAAAGAAAAGAAACCAGACAGAACTCCTTGAAGACAGGAACCAATGAGACTAACAGAATGCATGAGACTTTGCAGATAAGAAATAATGTTTATTGTATTCAGGGTACTAAGGAGTTCTCTCAAAAGGTACAGTGCCTCTAACATGTTTAACATTTTCATAATTATTAAAATCAGGTGGTAAAGTGTTTTTTTAAATGAAAATATTCTGACGATGTCTATTAAGACTAAAATAAATCTTTTGACCTAGTCATGTATCTTTGGGGGAATCTATCCTATAGGGAAAAAAGTCAGTTGCATGTAGGATACGTATACTCAAATATTTAAGGCGATATTTATTTAAGGTGATGAAAAGTTAGAAACACAGCAATTGTGTTTAATAATTATGGAACACCCACAGTTGGAATATTATATAGTCCTTGAGAAGCAGGCTTGGAGGGATGCCCATGAAATATATCTTGAAAAAAATAATTTCAAAAAAAATAAACAAACAATTTCAGAGTAATTGCAAAACTTCATTCCCATTTCAACCCATACTCTGGGAATATGTGTTTGTATACATATGGGCATGAATGGGGTATAGAAAGACACAAAGTTCATATTGGTTACTTCAAGGAGGGGAAGGAGGCGGGAGGACATTATGAACATCTTTGGATAGTTTCTCCTTCTTTAACAATCACTCTTTTTTTAACTGAAAAAAAAAAAAAAATCTTAGAGGTCCTGAGCCCTAATCTGAAAAAATGTTCAGGCAGGAAAAGAATGGAATAGAAAGCCTCTTAATCTTGGAAACACCTAAATGTTTGGAAGGAATTCTGGTCTCTCGCCTTCCCTGTAAGCATCCCTCTGACTTACCAGGGTTAAGGTAAATACAGCTTTTTCAGTTCATTTCCCCATTTCAAAATATGGCTCTTGTAATCTTTGTAGGCTGGGTGTTTTTTTTTTAATAAAAAAGTTTTTATTGGGGTATAGCTGCTCCCTCTAGAGCAAACTCCAGGAGATAGTGGAGGGCAGGGAAGGCTGGCATGCTGTGGTCCATGGGGTCACAGAGTCAAACACAACTTAGCAAGTGAACAACAACAGTTGCTTCACAACGTTGTGTTATCTTTCACTGCACAGCAAAGTGAGTTAGCTATCTGTGTGCATATACCCCCTCTCCTTAATCTCTCCTTCCCACTGAGCTCACCCCAGGGCACTGGGGAGAATGCCCTGTGCTGACCAGCGCATCAGTTACCCATTTCACACACACTGCTCTGCCGTGCTGAGTCGCTCAGCCGTGTCCAACTCTTGGCAAGCCCGTGGGCTGTGGCCCGCCAGGCTCCTCTGTCCACAGGGACTCTCCAGGAAAGAAGTACTGGAGCGGGTTGCCATGCCCTCCTCTAGGGGGTCTTCCCAACCCAGGGATCGATCTCCTGCATTGCAGGTGGATTCTTCACTGAGCCCCCAGGGAAGCCCATTTTACACATAGTAGTATATATGCCAATCCCAGGAGTTTTGTTTAAAAAAAAAACCCTATATATATATGTATGAGACTTGTTAAGGTCACACGATAAGTACTGGTCAGAATAGCACAGGCCACTCAGCACGCTGGGCCTGCCATAGAACTGTCATCATAGCCAGAAGGGCCTCACAGAGAAGAGTCATCCTGTTAGTTCTGCTGCTGCTAAGAATCTTTGAGCAAGAAAGACACGCTACCTTCTTGGAACCTCAGTTTAACAAAGGAGGATTCTAAGATTCATTTATGTCCAAAAAGCAGTTCCATGCTTAAATTGGATTTGACAGGTGATCTTAAGTATAAATCTGTATTTCTTAACAGTCTGGTTACAAGGGGAGTGGAGGAGAAAATAAATGGCCTGTTTAATTCTTTAGGTCAGTGACTTTCAAAGTGCTCTGACATGGCTCATAGTAAGAAACACATTTTGCATTGCTATCTGGAATATACAGAAGAAAAGTTTTATGAAATACCTTTACTAAAGGACTTCCCTGGTGGTACAGTGGATAAGAATCCACCTGCCAATGCAGGGGACAGGGGTTGGATCCCTGGTCCAGGAAGATCCCATATGCCTCAGAGCAACGACAATCCGGGCGCCACAAGTACTGAGGCTGCGTGCTGCAGCTACTGAAGCCTGTGTGCCTAGAACCTGTGCTCCCCAACAAGAGAAGCTACCCCAAGAAGCCTGTGCCTCTCAACAAAGAGTGACCCCCGACTCACTGCAGCTAGGGAAAGCCTGCGTGCAGCAACAAACACTGTAACCAAACATAAATAAATAAGAAATAGCTTTACTAACTGTGCCTTTACTTAAGGTATTTTCTGTTCTACTTTTTAATCTTTAAGAAAATACTGGTTGTGATCTCTACACTAAATTCAAGACTCACTGATGGGTCACGGTCTATAGTTTGAACAACACTGCTTTATTTTAGGTCATGCATGTGGCAAATTACATTATGAAGACAGAAGAAAATCAGCAGAACCTGGAAGTAGGGTTTTTGTTTGTTTCAGATGGTCTATAGAAAAAAAAATTTTCTGTTTCTTTCTCCTCGCTCCCACTCCATCCATTCCCACCCTCCCCCAGAACTCCTCCAGTTGACAAGCCCTCAAGGGATCCAAGGGATCAATCCCAGAGGATCTCCAAGTTTAAAGGAAAAGATTCCTGAGGCTAATTTACTCCCTGTGTGTGGGTACATTAGCTGCAAGGATGGCCAGAGGAAGGACTGAATTACTCTCTGCCAAGATTTGTCATGATGTTGGGTCTTGTCAAGATCTTTCATGATCTTTCATGGCCTGGGTCACCCTGGCTTCTCACTGTGTGATCGTTAGAGAGCTGCACAGAGCTTTTCATGGGAATCCTGTGAAAAAGTTGTTCCTTACCTCTTCACCCCCTGGAACAAACCAGAAACCTCCGAATAAGCAATGAGGAGCACCAGCAGCTTTCACTGAAGGCCAAGAGGAATACATCCATCAGTTGAGTTTATGCTCCTCACTGCTCCTGCCTTCCCTTTAAAAAAGTAGTTTACTGAGGTAAAGTTTCATCCCTCCGTTTAAAGAAATCTCAGCTGTAAAGGGCGGCTTCCGTCACCCCAGGCAGGTTCTGGAGTCACCCTTGTTCTGCTCCTACGACAAGGCTCCATGAGGGCGCCACACCCCTCTGGCCACACGGGGGAGCCAGAGGTTAGCAGGTGACCCAACCTGGGTCAGAGTTCTTCTGTGGGAATTTTACAAAGTAGCGCGGGGATACCCTCTTTCCTCTGAGGTCTTTGGAGTGGCTGGCGACAATATCGCCCATAGCAGGAGGAATCTTTCTGCAGCACAAGGAGAAAACGAGATCCCCTACACCAAGAACAAACAGCCAAGAGTTGGAGTTGTGACCCCACTGGGCGCCGGGACGCAGGTGCCCTTGAGGCTAGAATCATCCCTCTCCCCCACCCCCATTTTGTTGTTGTTCCCTAAACTAGTGTGAAGTGGGTCTCTACAACTTGCAGCAGAAAGAGTTCTGACTGTGGGAGCCACGATCACTCCTGGAGTTCCAGGAGTTGCTCCTCTGTTCAGACACCAAATCAAGTAATCAGGGCAGACGGTCATCCATCTCAGAGCCTGATGGAGAAACAAACCAGTTGAAGAGGGACTTCCGGCTATGCCTCTCAACTGAAACAAGGTTTCCCTTTTGTTAGCATGAGCTTGATGATATATACTCCACAGACTTGGGAGGTTTAAACAAGTCAAAAAGTGTAAGGGCACTAATGTAATGTACATTATGACTGCGAAGTGTTACAGTATCACCTGACTTGGCCAATCTTTTCTCGTCCCTTCTGCAGGCGTGCAAGGAATTTGTTGTCCATTATATGTGAAGATAACACTCATATACGAGATAACGCTCTTCAAAGGGAAACATTTTCAGGAAGAGTAGCTGACACTGCCTGAGCGCCAGTGATTGAGCTGGGCGACTTCCTATGTGATCTTTATAAGAATTCCAAGCTCTGTTCATCACACAGCGGAAAAACTGAGGTCTAGGGCGACCTTCTCCCCAGGGAACATTTGATAATGTCTGGAGGCATTTTTAACTGTCACAGTGGAGTGTGTGTGTGTGTGTGTGTGTGCACGCACATGTGAGAATGCACACGCGCTCCTGGCATCTAGGGGGTAGAGGCCAGGGACGCTGCAAACTACATACAGGGCATAGGGCAGCCCCCGCAGCAAAGAAGCATCTGGCTCAAGATGTCAACAGTGCTGCCGCCGAGAAACCCTGACCTAGAGAGAACCCGGCCAGCCCGCCTAAGGAGCTCACAGTCTTAGGCACCATGTTATACTGAGGTACACACGTGCACTCAGAGGGTGGGATGTGTGCTCAGCATCACAGCTCCTCCAGTCCCTCAGGTTCGGTGCTGGGGGACTGCTAACAAGAGCAAAGAGGGACTATTCCGGAGGGCAGGGAGGTCGTTTGATGAGACACAGGGCCGGTGTCCGGAAGACTGTGGGAAAGCCTTGACTGGCTGAGGATTCTAGGCCATTCCTCTCCCATGCAGTGTAACTACTCATTGGTCAGTCTAGGGTGTCTTCCTGAAGTCTCCGCCACTGACCTTGTTCCAGATGAGGACAGGAGTGGGGATTCCGATGACCTCGCAGCTCAAATACACCTGGGCACCAGTGACATTCCAGATGTCCTTGGGGGGCGTCACGATGGAAGGACCTAGGGGAAGGTGCACAAAGCCAAATCGTGTTTTTAAACAGTGTTTAACATCTGTCAGAACGCTAGAAATCTGCAAGTGTTACTAGAAGTAAATACTTGATTATGTTAGGGAGACTGTCCCCTCCATTGGTTATCTGAAGTTACTTTCAAAGACCAGACCAGCTTCCCCCAGCCACCAGCAGGATTTTAAGCTATAATTCGGTGATGCATACATTTTGACAGTCAGAAAACAATTAGAAAGAAAAATTTATTGCTTACAAAATTTTCTTCTCCTGTGATTCATGCTTAAATGAGTTTTAATTTACCAGCTGTTGTGCTTATCTGCAACTTTCCAATTAATATAGTGAACTCCCAAAATATTTAATGTTTTTCTTTTTTATATACTAGTATTTCTGTTTAGAGAGGGGGGCAACAACCAATCTTTACTCTTTGGGTAATAGAAGGAAAAAAAAAGTCTCAGAAGATTTTTTTGCAAATGCGCTCCACTGTTAATTCACCGGGCACAGCCCCAGGCGCCTGAGAGAGTCCACGTTAGAGGGAAGGAGCCTGGAATCCCGGGAGACAGTACAGTACTTCCAGAACCAAACCTGGCCCAAAGTCAAAGCTCGAGGCCATTTCTTCAAAGAATGAGTTAATTATTCCCTCTGAATTTCAGCTCTCCACTGCTTTGGGTCTTGGAGCTGAATAAAGTATCTAACTGCAAGGACATCTTGCATCAGAGTCCTGGGAAACGGACAACCTTCCCTTGGGGCCTGGAAAGTTTTCTGGCATAATCAGCATTCAAAGGGCACGAAGTCTCCCCTCTTGCAACAGGCTATTTCCAGCCCACAATTAATTTCTTGAAACAGAAAGGAAATGACAACAGCATGTAAGAGTTTTCCCACTCATCTCAAGTACTGAAAGCTGATTTTTAAAAAATCCCTCAGGGTAGTTTTATTTTTTCCCTTTGTAAGAGCAGGCAAAACATAGTTCTGAAAGCTCTAAATATATTTCTTGCTTCCTTCCCTCTAAAGCCTAGATTTGAAAGGAAGCATGTCTCTCGGCCAGGGGTCTCAGGCATTTCTGTGGCAAACGTGGGCACAGTGAGCACGGCGGTGTGGACTGCTGGCTCTGTTTCCGACGCCGCCTCGTCTGTCCTCACCAACACCAGGGCCCCGCAAAGGGCAGGGCTGGGCCTCACCGCATCTTGGGCTCCCTCTAGGGCCCTGGGACCCAAAGAACTTGGACACCACACAGCGGATCTGGCTCAAGCCTGAGGGCCCCGTGAGGCTGTCCTCCTTCCCACACAGACTTGGCGGGACAGCCTCAAAGCTCAGGGGATCTCAAGGGAGTGTTCTGAGAAGAATGCACCAGGGTTTGGAGACTGCGAGGGCCCGGGAACAAAGCTGCCTCTCACGTAGCAAAACCACCCGGGGAGTGCGAGATTCCTGTGAGATTCGAGTGCCTCAGCCTTGCAACAAGCCACTTATTTCAACTCGCAGCCATTTTTCTATAGACTGAGCAAGGAGCAGGGTCACTGGTCTTAGCCAAGGCAGTTTCTGGAGCCCACATGGAAGAACTCTAGCCTGATTTTCTGTCACATGTCTTGAAGACATGTTACGGATTCTCTGACAGCTTAATTTTTTTTTTTTTTAGCTTAATTTTAAAACTAAGATGTCCTTAGTTTTAATATAGTCCAATGTATCAAATGTTTCTTTTATAATTGATGCTTTTCGTGTTCTGTTAGGTTTTTTTTTTTGGGGGGGGGGCCCAGACCAAGCCCATAAAGATCTCCTGTTTTCTTCTACAAGCTCCATGGGTTCACCTTTCATATTCAGGTTTTGGTCCATCTTGAATTAACTGTTGTGTATGCTAGGAAGCAGAGGTCAAAGTTCATCACCCATCCCCAAAAGACAACCGACTGCTTTGGCATCATTTGTTGAATAGATCATCCTTTTCCTCCTGTAAGTGGTGCCTTTGAAGTAAATCCATTGCTTATATATATGTGAGTCTATTTCTGGACTCTCTACTCAGTTCCATTACATTTAACCTTGTACCAACAACCATGGTACGATTTAGAAATAACTATTAAAACTAAAGCACCAAATGGAGGCTAGATCCATTATATCCATCTCCCTTCAATTCTCTCCTTATTCCAAGAGGCAGAACATTTCAGGAGGAGCAAAAATTCTTTAAAAACATCTTAAGTGAAAGTTGCTCAGTCATGTCCAACTCTTTGTGACCCCATGGACTAAATAGTCCATGGAATTCTCTAGGCCAGAATCCTGGAGAGGGTAGCTTTTCCTTCTCCAGGGTATCTTCCCAACCCAGGGATTGAACCCAGGTCTCCCACATTGCTGGCAGATTCTTTACCAGTTGAGCCACAAGGGAAGCCCTACTCAGAAATACTTTGAATAAGCACCAGCCCCAGAGCGTTCAGATGAGGACAAATCATGCCGTGAGTTCCCACCCCCTCTCTCCCCACGCTTTGAATATATATTGAACCTCAGGTGAATGCGCGGAGTCAATATTCAGACCAGAATTTGTCAACTCTGCTACCAGGCCATGCCTAGAATTCTACAAGAATTCTATACCATGAAAATCTGTTTTACTCACTGACTCCTGTTGAGTTGACGGGGTGGAGAGGCAAAGGAGGAACAATTCGGACCAGTTCCCTGCACAACATTTATGAAAACCCTTGCTATTTCAAACATCCCTGAACAAATGCTGACCCACAGAGACACCAGGTGGACATGATTTGTATGGAAGTGAAGGATGGTGAAAACATTTGGGGCTGATGTGGTGGCAGATCCAGCACAGCACCCCTCCCCACTCTAAAGAACCACCATCCCACATATTCCATTGACAAGCAGTTTCACTGCCTGAATTACCTCGAATTACATGTGTACCACACAATTCATTTCCTGAAGGTTCTGTCCTACCTCACGAGAGCAGCTGACAAAATGACTCTTTACCAAATAACTTCTAACTCTTTCCACGTTGCCTTTTTTTCCCCAAGAAGGCCAAAGCAGATCCAGAATTATTTCTGTTTTTAAGGATAAAGGAACTTCTAGTTCATTCTGAGCTTATTTTCGGGCAGAAAGCTCAAAATCAGTCCTCAAGGCCAAGCCAAGGGTAATAAAATTGCCATCTAAATCATGCTCTGTGTTTGGATTCCATTTAAAACAAGTCACAGACTATTTAAACATATAGGGACAAACACCCGGATAGGTTCAGGTTCAATTATTTATTTATCCTTGTCTTTGTTCCAGTAAAGACTTCAAGCCACTCAAACATATGTCTAGCAGACATCCTGCACAGAGTAACTGCCCACTGCCTCTCTCCTCCCCTTCCCACCGTGGACAACTCCAGGCAGCGACCAAGCTGTAGCAGTGATGTCCGGTGGCTGGAGTGAGAAAAAATCCATCCCAAGACCTTCCTCACTTCCAACTCTCCCTCCTTTTCTGTTTCAGATGAGTGCCTGCGACCAGGGTACTCCATGTTTCCTTCTTACCTTTCTCAACTCACTTAGTTCTTATTCCATTTCATTTGATCTTTCTCAGCTCTCTAAATGTATTATATTGCTCCCTTATTTTTCATAATTCTTGCCTGGTAAGCTTAGGTGGTCTCTTCCTTTTAATCATTCCTTGAAGGGAAAGAGGAAGAAAAAGAAGGGAGGAAGGGAGGAGGCAGAGGAGAAGGAGAAGAAAGAGAAAATGAAATACAGAAAGAGCCAGATCTTAAAGTCGTAAGGAAGAAGGAAGTTCTAAATTTGGAAGAAAAGTAAAATTCAATTTAGTGAGTCAATGTCACCTTAAAAGCACCTGGAAAGAGTCAGATCATCCTAGGGAATGTCCACCTAAGTCTACGTTCTCTCCCTCAGACAATTTTTTTTTGGCTGTGCCATGTGACATATGTGATTTTCGTTCCCTGACTAGGGATTGAATCCACACCCTGTGCATTGGAAGCTTGGAGTCTTAACCACTGGACTGCCAGGAAAATACCAACGTAGAGACTTTTAATTAAGTTCTAGACAAATGACCTACAGACTACAGATTACTTGCTGCTATAAATAGCAATGTTTTGAGAAATCACTAAAGATACGGAAAAGGAAGAATCGTTGACAGATTTAAATTTGGAATATTTCAATTAGATTCTGAAGAGTTAAAGAAGGGCAATTCCCACAAAACACACAAATGTCATGAGGAAAAGATCCTGAAATAGGATTAACTTTGAACTTGACAAGCAATTCATTTAAGCCAATCTTATACAAAGCTGTAGTAGAGAGGAGAGAGTTAAAATCTGTTGTCCTATAAAAAGCATGGGAATACTAAAAAAGAAATATGTGAGCAATTTCCTAGTCTCTTACAGAACACAAAACACTCCCTAGACATGACCTGAGATGCCTTCACCATGTTATCATTAAAATAACAAACAAAACCCCCAGAGCTCTTTTGGGGAGAGAACACTTGGCCCTGGAGGCTTGTCTACCGCTTATAGCTAGGAGACCTTAGACAAGCCACTTAACCCATTTGTACAGAAGAAACTGGGGCAGGTCTGAGAATTTTCTTTTGGGTCGGAAGTGAAAGTACCCATCAGAATGTGCCGTAGAGCACATTCATATGGCATCTTTAACATCCATGAAGTTTTGAGCTTCCACTGCCTGGTTCTGGGAGCTCTCACACCTCACAAATCAGTCTAGTGCACCACTTCATCTACCTAAATGCAATGTACATGACTCATAACAAAGTTCATTCTCCCAGTGATCAAGAAAAATAGAGCTTTAACTATAAAGGTATCCGTGGTTACCAAGATAACTAATTTATTAATCTGAAAAAGCTGCACAGAAGATGTTGGGAGAGGTCATGTGTTGGAGCTAAATATATGTACTCCATGGAACCTGGGAAGTGGTCAAAAGTCAAATTCTTCCTAATAGTTAATTTTTGTCCAGTTTTGTTGATATACTATTCAACCACATTTTCCTCTTCACTGCCTTCTTCATTTCTTCCATCATCTCTCCCATGTTTATCCTACAAATTCATCCTTCTTATTCTCACCAAAACTCATTCTCTGCTCCTAGCATTCATGCCCACTCCCTCATTACATGCTTATTGCTAATTCTAGAACCTTTGCTTACTTATGCTGATGCACTTGCCTACGTGGGATATCCTCCTTCCTTTCATCTGTTATCTATATCTTATTCTTTATTTGGAGCTCTAAGGCTGAAATTTCATCTCCTGCTTGAAATTTTTCTCACAGCTCCAGTTCCCTCTTAATTCTCTGCAATCTTGTTGGACTCAGAATTAGTGCCATGCGGCTTAGTGCATCATTGTTCTCTAATGCTTTCCCCAGCAGGGCTAATTGAAAAATGCCAGTCTCCTGACAGAATCATAACTGAGCCAGAAACTCTGGAATCAGACATACTTCCTGTTCCTTGGTAGGAGGGACAGATAAGATTGTACACAGTGGAAAAAGGGCAGCAGAAAACTCACAACATAACATGACTAGTTATATGGAACTAAGAAGATAGCCACTATCTTGAAAATACACCAGTGTACACATTGCCTAGGTACCTAACCAAAGTGGTGCTATAGTCACTTCTTATTTATCAGCTAGAAGATTATTCATTGTGATTT